TTTTTAAATAACAGAACAAAAAAAAGTCCTTCACAGTCTTTATCTGAAATTAAGGTGATTGAAGAACTTCTGTGTTGGCAGCACTACTACATTCTAGTTTTTCCTAACTTACTTTATAGGAGTAAAAACATCTTGTATTACTGCTATTCACAACTAGCTGTCATGTTGTCCTTGTTTTCTCCTATACAGACAGTGCTATTGTTATCTGTTTTGTGAATTTATCTCACAGAGCAATAAATAATTCTGTGTAATGACTACATTGATTTGATTAACTCTTTTCCCATGTTGGTACAACTTCGATGTTCTTATTGAATGCCCTTTACCTTCAGGTATCAGTGTTTCTTAACTGCAAAACTTATCTTTCATGGCTCACTTTTTCTCAGGTTTCTACTTAAAAATCCACATAAAGGATTGACAGTATAATCATTTCAGTGTATTCTGAGGCAGTTTTCAGTGAACTAACTTGTTCTGTGTGTGGTGTTAACTCTTACTGGGAGGCACGAGGCATCTGTCCTTACCGGACTTCGCTGCCACAGTTTTCCTGGGCCCCTGACCTGACCTCCCAGTGACTGGACCCTGGCTCCTGGCTCCTGCCTTTGCCTTCTGTCTTGCTCCTACACTAATGTTGTTTCCCTTCAGGTGACAGGCCCTTTACACCCTGATGCCTGATCAGTGCTAAGTTACTAGGACGCCTGCAGAGTGGGGAAAACTGTAAAATAAGGCACCAGCAAGTCTGCCTTGCCCTCTCAGTCTGACTTGTACATCGTTCTTAGATCTTCTGGTCTACTATGTTGATTTAATTACATTCAAAAAGGTTTTTTTTTCTTTTTTGGAACCTCTGCTAGAGAGGTGAAGCCTCCATATCATCTTGAACACAGTTGTCTCCCCTCTGGAGCTTGAGCAGCTTTGAGAGAGCTGCGCTTAGAGAAATGAGGAAGCAAGGATCATCTTCCCAAGCCAACAAGATGATTTGTCAACAGGATGATGTAAGTCAAAACCAGATTGCCCTCATATCCCGCCGTTTTTAATGCAGTTACCATACACGGAGCACGTGGATAGGTCATGCATTAGCACATTGTTTGGCACACAAGTACAAAACAAATGATATTTATAACATCCATGTTGGAGCTTCATGTCTCTTACGTGAGGAGCAAAGACATAAAACCAGCTAACTGTTGAGGGCAACCAGTGAATCTGAGTGGAGAGGCAATAAGTTCAGAGGGAGATCACTGTGGCCCTGAAGATATGCACAAAGCTTTCCAAAGATAAAACTGGAACCAATCCCTACAAGACTTGCTGTTTCCTGCTTCTTACCATTAGTGAATCTTGGTCATTCATTTTACCTCCTTATAAGAGAGAATACTTAAGGCAAACCTAATATAAATCCTGATACTTTGTGTATTTCTGCTTCAAACTTCACTTCTCTTAGTTCCAAAGATCCTAATAATAGAAAATTGCTCAGCGCTGTTTGGGCAAGTATAGCTGTCCTGCTCTCCTGACAGTATCTCTTCCCCTCCATTTAAATTATAAATGCACAGGGGCCTGGGACCATGTGTTTCTTATCCTTACTTTCAAATTCCCTATGGATAAGACTGGCCTGCTTCTTACCTTTTACTCTAACCACTGACTAGATGTCTTCGTATTTGTGAAAGTGATGGATTCACCTTCCAAGCCCTGGCCCGGACAGTGCTGGCTGTCCTGGACACTCCCATCACCTACCTTCCTCCAACCTTAATTTCCCTTCTGATCAGATGTGCTCTTGCTTTTTTTTTCCTGATCGTCCCATTTCTACAGCACATTAAATATGCTTTTAAGGAGACGCCAAGACTCCCCTTATGAATATGGGCTTTCCCTGTGACACCACATGTGTGTTCCCCAGGAGATGGGCGCAGGGGCAGAGGAGCACTGGCCAAGCACAGAGCAAACCTGAACCAAGAGCCCCCAAGTGGATTTTAAAACCCATTCAGTTAACATAGCCTTACTTTTTAATTCAGTGAATGTTTTTAGCTACTATGTTCTAACTCAGTTAATATAATAAGCTTTCCTCAAATTCAGCTGGACTCACTTTTTTCCAATTCACTAAAAACATTTTTAATTCAAGTATTGTTTTTAGACAACTAATGAACTTTTCTCTGTGATTCTCTTTTGCAACTGGGCTGGTTTCAGTAAGAGGGCCTTAATTTATATAATTGCTCTCTTTTATTCCTTTCTGTAAAACACCTTTTATTCTGTAACAGACAACTGGCTTCTTTTGAAATCGTGAAAAAATGTTATGTAGGTACACTTGGAAAGAATAGGTATCAGCACAATTATTCGCAAGTTAAATTTAGTATATTGTACGCTATTTCATAGACTATCATCCTGAAACCTCCTAACTCAAAGCAAATATGAAAGCCTTTCACCATTAGTGCTGCAGAGATTCATTTATTTAATATTAAGCAAGTTTTTACTGACCTCCCACTCTGTGCCAGAAATAGTTCTAGGTGCTCAGGATCTAGCAGTGAACCAGACGACCTTGATCTTCACCAGCACACATTCTAGCTGAGTTGCAGTGGAGATGCAGACAACAAGCAAATGATCAAATACGCAGCCTGCAGAGATGGAATTTGATTTCCCAATTCTCTTTCCCTCTGCCATTGCTTCAAGGCCATATCCACAACCTCGTTACCTGTAGTGTTGAATGAATTCAGTTTTGTAGAGCTTTCCCCACATCTAGTAAGAGGGTTGTTTAAGCATCTTGTTCTACTACAGGAGAGAAGGGATGGCGAGGCATTGGGAGGGTCATGCAATTGTAAAACTGGGACTCAATGTGCTTTACTCTCAAAATTATAAAGATGAGGATTCATTCATTCAGCAAACATTTACTAACAATGGGTCAAGGTTCGATTACATTTCAGCCTTTATACCACCTACATGCATGCACTTAAGTACCTCACACTCTACTTGGAAAACAGAGACATAAAATAATTACTGATAAATGTTAAAATAAAAACCTATGTCAAGTACAAGGGATGTACCACAAAAGCAGTGACTAACTGTGCCTGAGGAAAGGCTGCACCATAGGGTCACCTCTGAACTGCACCTTAAAGTTGAAGTACATCAGGCTGCATTTATTCAGGAAATGCTTACTGAGCACCCTCTGTAAGCCAAGTACAGTTGTAGGCACTGTAAACACAGCCATGAACTAGACAAAGTCCCTGCTCTCTTGGCAGCAGAGAAACAGACAGTAAACTATTACAACAATTGATAGTAATTTACCTTATAGTAAAAGATAATTATATATTAGGTGTTGGTACCTGCTAATACCAAAAAGTAAGGGTTAATAAAGGGAACAGAGAGTGATAAGGGATGCTGTTTAGGTAGGGTGTTCAGAGGGCCTCTCTAATGAGACAACGTTTGAGCAGAATCCTGAATGATATGAGAGAATGAGACAAAGAATTGGGGAAGCCATTTCAGACAGAAGGAACAGCATGAATAAAGGCATAATAGTCATGAAAAGCATGGAGTCTTTAATACAAAGTAAGAAATTCTCAGTGCTCATGGGCTAAGATGGGGTCCAGGGAGTTAGGGGGAAATGTAGTAAGGAAGGCAGGGGAAAAAGAAAGGAAGAGAGGAGCTAAATGCTGAAAAGCCATGGGTTCATACTGGGGAGTTTCAGGGTTCACACTATTGTTTGGGAGAAAATGGGCTTGAGTTTGAAAAAAAGAAAACACTTAAGAGGAAAATGACATGGCTAGGCTTTGGTTTCGTGCGGTTTTTGGAAAATTATTTCTTGCAGCAGTATGCAAGATAACCATGAAAGGAGTAACAGAAGAAGCCAATTATAAGGTTATTATGGTACTCCAAGTGAGAAATCATGTGGCCTAAATTGAAACAATAAGGTGACTAAGAGGAGATGGTAGAGTTCAGATATTTTAGGAGACCCAGTATATAAGATCGATGCCCTATGGAGTTTGGAAAATGTCAAGAAAGAAGAGTTCCTACATTTCAGCTGGGGTGACTGAGTGGGTGATAATGTCATTAGCCAGCTCAGGGAGTCCTGGACGAGAGACAGGTTTAAGAGTGCAGATAATAAATTTTATCTGAAGCAATAGGAAATACAGATCTAGAAATTAGAAGTCAGGGCAAAAATGTAGATTTGGCTGTTATTTCATGAGAATTAAAAAAGAAGGAGAAAAAGTAGTAGCATTGTCATATACTGCAGAGAAGTTTAATAAGATGAAGATCTTTAAAAGGCCATCAGATTTGACAGTTGGAAAACCAATAACTTCAAGAACAATTTCAGTAGATGTGGGTGGGACAGAGCCACATCGCGTTGAGTTGGAGAATGAAGGGGCAAGAGGCTGGGATTGTCCAGTCAAGGTTACCATCCTCTCTGCTTTCGCAGAGCTGCTCCTTGGAAGCTTTGAACCTGAGGTCAGATCTTCCCTTCCCCCTCCCTCTTTAGTTTTCTCCAGCCAAGGCCTAGGACTGGATGCCTGAGCTGGGGACACATGGAGGGACAAATATCCTAAGGCCTTTGGGTCTCTGATAACAGAGAGGTCAGGGAGAGGGGAGGCTGGTGTTGGTGATTCAGGCATTGCAGGGAGCATTTTCAGGGGACAACAGTGGATCAGGCCAGTCCAGAGACCGGACTCCAGATGGGGAGAACTATTTAGCACCTAGGTCTCTGTGCATATGAAAACTGGATGAGGGAGCTGAGGTAGGATGAAGAGCAAAGGACTTGAAGGGCTTGTGGGGGAAATACGGAATCTGGCCAAGTGTGGGGGTGGAGGTTGAATATGGCAGTAAACTGATGTTAACTAGAAATTCACGCAGGGCTGCTCCTAGGGCACAAGGGCTGAACTGTGCAGAGGAGAGACCACTGGCAGTACTAGTGACCGTAAAGACAGCAGTGAGGGACAGCTAATGGATTTAGAGGTAGTACTAGCAGGGCCTGGCATGTAGGTGTTTTAACAAATATTTGTGAAGCCAAAAGGGGTAGTTCAGGTTTTGTGCAGGAAAGGGAATAGAACCAGAGTTCTGAAGAGCTGTAGGTAAATGGCTAGGTTCTTTAAAGGGAGAAGATGGAGGCATTCTGTCTGGAGGGATCCCAGACAGCTGAAAGTTGCAAAGCCCTGGAGGGAGACTTGCACAGTTCAGGGCAGGGGACCCACCCCCTTAACCCTGGGGACACAAGGAATGACCAGGCAGCCTACCAGACTACCCCTTTACCACACATGCACACCCTTGACCTCAGTTTCTCTCACCTGTACCAGCCATCTCCGCCCACTGGGGGGCGGGGCTCGAGGACGATGCTGGTAGCTATTCTATAGCCTCCAGAGGCAGCAGTTCGTACCAAACTGCCTACTGGGGTGGAGTCTTACCCCATGACTGGACCCAGGCTCCCAAACTACTCACTGGTGCCAGGCAGTGGTGAAGGCGGGCCCAGAGGGCCAGCGCCAGTTCGGGTTGACACTCCGATCTGGTTGAGCGCCCATGCAGCCCCCGGCCGCCTGATGGTCCAGCCGGGGATCGGACCGGCAGTCTGTCCAGGCCCTGAGATGTGGGAGGTGCCCCTGAGTCCGCAGACTTACGAATTCCGGGGCGAGATGGTGCCCTGCGAGCGCCTGGTCAGAGCTGGCGAGGCGCGGGCCTGGCTCCCCAATCCCTTTCAGGGCGCCATCCCTGGGCCCTATGTCACACTGCGGAGCATTCCCAGTTTGGCACTGCCAGAGGACATCTCAGCCATAGTGAAAGAGATGGAGCAGCTGGCCAAGGAGCTCAGGCAGAAGAGGATGACCCTGGGGTACTCGCAGGCCGATGTGGGATTCGCCTTGGGGGCTCTTTTTGGAAAGGAGCTTAGCCAGACAACCATCTGCCGCTTTGAGTCCCAGCAGCTCAGCCTGGCCAACATGTGGAAGCGGCAACCACTGCTGAAAATGTGGCTGGAGGAAGTGGATACCAAGAACCTGCTGGTCTTATGAAGAGTGGAGATGATCCTGCAGCAAGCTCGGAAATGAAGATGGGCAAGCAGGGAGCGGCGCATCAGAAACAACCTGGAGAAACTCTTCCTGCAGTGCCCAAAGGCCACAGCCCAGCAGATCAGTTGCATCGCTGCGGAGCTCCAGCTGCAGAAGGACCTGGTCCGAGTTTGGTTCTATAACCGGAGCAGGATGAGCAGTCAGCCAGCCAGATATTTCTCCCCACCAGAGGAGGGGGCGGCAATCGGACCTCCCTTCCCAGGGGGACTGGTGTGCTTTCCCCTGTCGTCAGGGCTCCATTTTGGTTCCCCTTACTATGGGGGCCCCTACTTTACACCCTTGTACCCCTCTGCCCCTTTCCGTGTGGGGGGAGCCCTCCTCTCTGCCCCGGCCACCAACCTGGGCCTTCCCAGGCCTTCAAGCCAAGGGGCCTGCCCTTCTGGGGAGGACCACGCTGGGGAAACCAGTCCCTGGCATTCCTTCCTGGGCTTTTAGCATTAAGTTCTCCAGTCACTGTCTAAAGTTCAGAATAAGTAGGGGGTGGGGGTTTTAGGAAACTATATGTTTTTCCCTGTTTTTACCTAGCATTGGTTTTAGGGTACATTACAATACATAGATGGTTTCAGATAGTTTGTTTCTCATTTTTTAATTAAAAATTGTTATTCCTTGTGGTTATTAGTAAATATAAGGATTAATTTTTTTCTTATAAAATGGGTATTGAGTGGAAAAAAGTCACAGAAGACAATTTCAGTATCCCATTGTTGCCCAAAACAAGCAGAACTTTGTATAAACACAGAGTCCATGGTAATAGTTTCCTCTGGGGGAAGGTTTGAGGATAGGTAAGAAAAGAGCACACAGAGTCTACCCTCATCCCTTGTTGGAACACAGAAATTTTCTTTTTCTCCCCACTTTCTTGGAAGGCACATCTTTTCTAATTAACCTTTTTCATTTAAAGTGCCCCAGCTCTAAGTGGGGAATCTCAGGTCACCTCTGTACCTTGTGCAGTCCCACAGGTTTATCTCTGTCCTGCCACAGGCATTGTATTTTAAACCCTTGTTACTGGGATTGGCAACCTGGAGGATGGGGCTCAGCCCCACCTGCAGTTTACTCCTCTGGCTCAGCTTCATTTGGTTTATTCTCTGGGAATTTCCCTTACTTTCTTTTGAACTCAGGTAAACTTCCTAGAGGATATTTGTAATAGTTGACCCAGTATTCCCTGGTGGTTTTTGTGAGAAAGAAATCATGAATTGCTTTCCCAAACTCCTCAGTGAAAATGGTCTTTTCCAGTTTTATACTTCTACATTGGTCAATTTTGGTCACTGTAAACCAAATTGAAATCATTAACCCCTTGTGTTTTCAAACCTGCTGCCATACCACTGCATGTAATATTTATTGTTTTATAATTATATCACTATATATTATATCTGAGTTTATCTTCTTTTTGCTTTCTAATCTTTTCAATTTTTTCTTTCTCTACTTTTTTTTCCTTAATCAGTCTTGCAAAAAATTTATAAGTATTTTCAAGGAACAAGCTTTTTAAACTTTTATCCTATTTACTACTATCTTTGTTTCCTAATTAATTTCTGCTTTCATTTTTATTAATTGCTTTTTTTCTAGTTTCTTTTGATGTATATATTTTTTTCTTCCCAGTGTCTGAAGATAGAGGACTGTTGATACACATAGGTCAGTAAATATGCAGGCAAACTTCAATTGCTTGGCTCAGCTTCAGTACTCTTGGACTATCCCAGTATAAGTCGCACAGCACAAATCCCTTTTCCTAGACAGCTCTTCTGGAAAGCCTTGGAAAGGAAATGTTTCTGCAAAGGGCCAGCAGACATTGTTTAATGCCAGGATGAATAGTTGTGATTGTGCTGTGAACATTCATATCCTAAAAGCTGTGAGGGCACTCTGACCCAGGCTGCTACTTGAATCCTGTAGCCCCTACCAATTTGGAGAAATGGCAGTAGGGTGTCAGTCTCAGGAAACAGCCCCAGGGGTCCGCCTTAGCACCTGCCCAGCTGCATGACATCATTCACGCCGCTGCTGCACCTCTGCTTAGGCAAGTACTGGTAGTTGTCACTGATCAGCCTTTGCTAGTTTAAAATGAGATTTTTTTATCACTGGTCCTCTTAATTTGACTCTGAAAAGAAAAAGGGCAAGACCTTGGGGAAACTGATATCTACAGGATTTCACATTTTTCAAAGATTTAAGATTGATGGGTAGAAACCTTAATAATAAGATCCCTCAAAACTGAGAAGAAACTACCCTTAGAGTTAGGAGAAAACCAAAAGTGTGATTTCAGTGGTGAATAGTGTCCAATGTGGAGATCAAGCAACATAAGAAATCAGGTAAGACTGCCCATTTTGACTAACAAAGATGTCATTGGTATCCTTAGTGAGAAAAATTTCAGTGGAGTAGTTAGTAGAGGCAGATGGCAAATTATAGTCCAAAGTCTTCATATTAGCCAGATTTTCCTCCACCTCAGTTTAAAAAATACATACCAACCACTCATTCAAGGATCTGCCCCCTCATTCTGAAAATGTTTCTCTATCAAATGTTTTCTTTATCTTGAGTTTCCTTTAGACAAGTCAAGTATTCTTAACCTGAAGATGCTGATCCCCTTTAGAGTATAAGCAGAATAGTATGTTTGTACCAGTGTGCATTTTCTTTAAAGATGTTGGTGATAGCCATCATCACATTTTCAGAGGGAACTATGACTCTTTGTAGATCTGTAATTTCAGAATTAAAGAAATACCTTCCTTCGGCCACCTTACTTTCAAGGTTTCCCTTGACACAATACCTCGCTAATAGGTGGTTCCTGGTTTTCTCTGACTCAGTGGTTTCTGAATATCTCTACCTCAGTATAGTATAAAAGCCCTGAATCACATCATGCATAACTTTTTTCAAATTCAGACCAAATACTGTATTTAAGTATTGTCTTTCTTATTTTTATATTTCAACCAATCTTTAGCACTTTAATTAGATTCCTATCATAAAGAACAATATTTCCTTTTCCTAGAAGTTGTCCTGTCTCTTGTCTAAGAAAACTCATATCTTCCCTTATTCCAAACATTATCTTGCTCTTAAAATAACATCTATATGTCTGTAATTTCACAGTTTTGAAATATATATTCTTTACATCTTTGTTGATTACACTGAAGCTGTGTCCTGGGAATTTTTCAGAATAGCTACATTTGTTTGTGGCTTTCTTCTAGGTATAGACTTGCTTACTAAACAGTATTAGTTTCCTTGGCAGAATCTATTCATGATGAATTCTTTGTAGGGTAAAAAATTGTATTATCTATGTAGAACAATATTTTTAAAGTGAAAACTACAATGTCATTCCAATAAAATCCCACATCCTGGTGGAATATGAGCATGTTACTTGACAAAGTGATTTTAACTGAAAGAAAAAAACATAGGGAAATTTTGAAGATAAAGCATGTGGCCACATCCTACCAGATGTTATGAAACTGTAGTAATTTAAACTGTGGTAGTGATGGAAAAAATACCAGAGAAAAGTATTTGGCTATTCCATCCATGGGAATGTGAGTAGCAGCAACCTTCACAAAAGGCCATTGGATCATTCATATAAGTTTTAAAAATGTACTTTCCCTTTGGCTCATTATTTCAGTTTTTAAGTATTTATAAGAAAATATTTGTATGTGTGTTTAAAAATGTAATTTGACAAGGGTGGGCATCACATCACATTATTATTTAATTTTAACAACAGAAAGCTAGAAGTAATCTAATTGTTCAACAAAAAGTTAAGAAAATAAAAACACCATTTACGGTAAAAAATTATGTTATAGAACATAATAAAGTTCAGAATAGATTGTTGAGTGAGCCAAAACAGGTCATTAAACTTTATATCATTTCTGTATATTTTTAAGGAAAAATGCACATTACATATAGAAATATATGTATATAGATATTATTAGTGGTTTAAAAATTCTTTGCTATATATATTATATAACTAAAAATCCAAGATAAATTTTTAAAGCAAGGCCCTAGGAAATTTAGGGTTCCTAAAAATATTCATTCTTCCAGTGTTTTTTTGTCTCTAAAATGGTAATTTCTCATTCTAAAGCAATATTTCAAAATAATAAATCTGGCTTTTTCATTTTTAGATTTGTAGCTTCTGTAAAAGAAAAACAATTCTCTAAACAGAGGACTACTGGAATATACCAGTTATAAAGACAGTGCTGAAATGTAGGGTTTTTTTTAATTAGATGCCCATTAATGTTAAAGAGCTGTAGTGTAGCTCAGTGAGTGAAGACACCTGCCATATGTCTGTTTTCCTGCACAGCATGGTAATTTACAATTACAATTAGTGTGTTTATATACCTCAGTGTTAAATATAACCCTATTTAGAATATAATATAAGCCCACATCATTTTCAGGTTTCTGAATGTTTACTTTTCAATTTTAAAAAGCATTTGAAAATAATCAAAATCCTGGTTTTATCACAGTGGAATTCTCCCTCCCTGTCATAGCTGAAGAAAGCAAATGAATGTAAATGAGATCTGTGGATTCCTAGGTTTGAAGGCAGGGTCAGTTCCTGTGATCACAGCCCCAGCTGATTGAAAGGTGAGCTGTAATGAAGTGAGTCCCCCCCAATAAGCCCCTTGAAACAAAGCATGAGCATTAGCATGGTTATGGCAGCTGAGAGAAACATTGCAAGAAGCTTTGGAGAAGACTGCATGGTTTAGGGGCACCTCCAGAAGACAATCCCAGCATTGTGATGGGCTGCTGCTCTGCCACCTCACTTTTTTAGCTTGAAGCTCTGCTGTGAATTCCACTAAAGGCAAAGTTAGCTACTGTGGCCCTGAACTTGGGCTTCCTAGGTTTTCTTTCCCCAGCTTGCAACAAAATGACAAAATACAAACCAGCTTTACTTATTGCTATTGACTCCTCTCCTGACTGACTGGCCAAAGAGTGTGGTTGGAAAAGGAAAAACTGACTTCTTCCTGATAATTCATCACACTTTATTTTTTTAAAGGTTATATTTTTATAATGAATTTTATTATTTGTTATGAAAGCTAGCAAATGATATAATGGTACAAGCACTAGAATGAATTCACTACATCTTAAATTCAATATTCCCTTCTAAAACTATACAGCCTGTTACATCATTTCTGCTTCTACAAAGGAGTAACTGTATTGTTGAATAATTAGTCCTCTTCTTCATTCCAAGATGTAGGATGTAGACCTTCTTTTAGAACTCGGTGTGATGGCCAGGGCAGTGTTATAAGATGCATTAAGTTGCTTTATTATCTTAGAATGAAGGATAATGGTCCTAAAGCAGCTGTAAAAGTTTGAATATTATTGATTGATTAGTGGGCAAATCTTAACATATACCTTTTTTATTAAAAGAGAATTTGTTTCAGTATAGCACTTGCTGTTAGATAGGGCTCCCGTAAAAAACTCTTCTACAGAGTGAATAGCTTAACCAACAGGAATTTATTCTCACGGTTCTGGAGGCTTGAATCCTG